AAGGACACTGATTTGGACTACATTCGCATCCCTCTCTCACGTAGCAGCCTTAAAAATTATATTCGTAACAACGTTATGCAAAAGTGGAACCAGTAAAAGTAGTTAAGCAGTAAAACTGGTAGAATAACAAGACTTTATTTTCCTAGTGTTGAATGCAGGTTCTCATCACTACTTAGAGATTTAACGTTTGCTACTGCTCAACTACTTACTGAGCATGGTAATTTTAGAAGCTACCAAGCGATGTATAACCGGGCAGAAACTGCTCCTTGCTTTTGTGTACAGAAAACCTAGACACCGTCGACTATATGATCTATCATTGTCCAATTTACGATCAACATACACTTATTCTGAGATTAGAAATTTTTACGCTTGGTTTCGGGTGGCCACGTCCACTCGATAAGCTTGTTCAGAAACCACTATTTCATGCTTTTTACAATGATGTTAAAAAATATGAAAGAAAAGACTATTTATAATTTCTGGTTTTACATTTTAGTTTTCACTGAAAGCCGAATACTAATTTTATGCTTACTTTGTATTATGCATTTTGGTTTATGTATTCTTAGTGTTATACAACCCAAAGGAATGGTGCACTTATTCTAATAAAAAACAAGAGAGAGAAACCACCACACGGCCTTTCTCCCATGACAGAAAATGTGTAGAGCGTAAATCTGCTAGCGTTATTACTCTATCACGTCACACGAGACAACCAGCGTTCTTAATAGAAACCGCCAAATTGAAGCCAAATTCAAAACGCCACCACTCAACGAGATCAAAAAATAAAAATAAGAATATTACGTAAGACGAGATCTATTACCCCCTACCCCTGAGTAAGAAATAGTAAGAAATCCTTTACCCCCACCCACCCCAAAACACCTTACGTAATTTATGGACGGCCCCTAATCTGTGACTAAGGTTTTCTTTCTCCGAAGTTGGCAACACTTTCGTCTTTATTTTCGTTTTCGATTTGCTTCCGTGTGGTTTCTACGACGACAGAAAATGAGCTCGGATAAGAGACGTAGAGCGAGAACTCAAGGGAGGTTTAGCGATCCTCGGTGTGATAATTCGAGAAATAAAGAAAAGAGTAAACGACCTTCTGATCATTTCGACCCACGATTACTTAATATTGAAGCTCAAAGCAGTTATGAAAATGTGCAGTCGACAAACAGCTGCACTTTTGTAAACAATGTACAAGAAGTTAGATGCAAAAATTCATCAGAACAAGTTTATCAACCTAAACAGCTAGGTCTATTGGATTTCCAAACAAGAAACTGGACAACTGATAAAAAATCTTTAAGTGCTAATTCTTGTTTGGACCATGGAAAAATGTGCCAAGAAAATCTTGAGAAGAGGGACAAAAGTTTAGAATATGGAAATGATCCGAGTTATAATACGAAGGAAGAAACTCTGATAGATAATTCAGAAGAAGCGATGGAAAGTGCAGCGTTTACAAAAAATTTATTTACATATGAACCAACAAAATTAGAAGAAACAGTTAAAGAAAAGAAAACTAAAAGGATTAGGTAATTTTAACATGATTTAAAAAAAAAATCATTAATTTTGATTTTAAAATTTATTTTGGAATTTATTGTTATAAACAAATTTTATGTACCATCATTGCTTTCTTAATGAATCAAAACCTAAAATAACTGAACTATTAAATTTTATTAATACAGTAATTGATTTAATATGGGGTGCTCTTAAAGTTGATGTGCAGTTTTTTACTTCTATAATTAAAGATGTATAAATGTTAAAACTGTGCAATAAGAGGCTAACTTTAAACTTTTTTTACATAATTTATTTTATTTTATTTTCATACTCTCCTTAATAATTTCAAATGCTGACATCAAAGAGAAAGTAAACAATATGCGTTGTATAGCAGAATTAAAGTTGATAGACATATCTAGATGATGAGTGGCTAAGTTACCCTGTGACGGAATCTGTACGTTTAAAACAAACTTGGCTTGACTGCTTAGCTGCTTGCCACCTAGATGTGATCAATAACAATGCTGTTCAATGCAATTTCTTATGAAGAGCATATAATGAATAGTATTCTTTCTTCTTACTAGCTATTATTGACTTTAATTTTGCATAACAAAGATAGAGTTTACCTTCTTTTCAACTATACAATGAAATTATAAACTTAATGAATTCTAGATGTAAATAAATGAATATTCATAATCTAAATTGATTATTTTTTTAGTGACCCTGGATGGCATACATTAAGTATTGAACCTTCTGGAAGATCAGAGTATGAAAATGTTTAAATAACTAATATTTATTTTTAAATCATTTGATAATTTTGATATTTTTTCTTTATAATTAGAGTTTATTTTAAGCAGGATTTTATTAATGAGGTTTATCAGAAAGCCTATTTTGATCATCTGAACAAATATATCAAATGGGAACTTAAAGAAGTTAATTCATATGGAACAAAATATCCTCAACCAAGAATGGTGGCTTGGTTTGGCCCTTTCCCTTATGGTTATTCTGGAGTGTTATTAAAAGCAAATAATAAGGTTGGTTATCATATTTTGAAATTATGTTGTTTATGATATAAAATATTATTAAAATTTCTATTTATAACTAATAATTTAGTTAATGAAGTTTATCAATACTGATATCATTTATTAGATTCCATTTGTGTAGCATGGTTTAAAATTAATTATATTGTTTCTTTTAGTCTCTTGCTAACATGTTGGCAAATCATAATGAATTTGTTAATTCACATTATGATTACTGGCAGTTTGAAATTTCACTGTAATTATGTAGCTGTAAGTTTGCTTATTAAAAAAAAAGCCAATAGTGGGTATAGTTTGGTAGGTAGTTTTTGATAATGCTTTTGGTAGTTTTATATGGTTTCAATAAATTTATTTTAAAAAGATTTCAACTTTCTCTTTATAATAATAATATTAAAAACAACTTTGTTAGTTGTTATTTTGGTAAATAAAATTAATTTCTGAGAATTGTTCTTAATATTTGATTTGTATTAATTATAAATAATCATGTATATATAATTGAAATATATTAAAAAGAGAAGATATAATTATTTTGCATTGAGTTTCAGGAATGGTCTCTGATATAATGAAACAAGATATTTTTTTTAGACCTTATTAATTTGTCTATGATTAATCATATTATTGTTTAAATAATATTCAATATTAAATTTTTAAAATATTGATAAGTTCTTTTTTTTTTTGAAAATAGGTAACTTGAGATAAATTTGTCAATAAAACTTTGCAAATTTGTTCAGTATTTATTGTACAGTAAAGTAAGTTATAAAGTGCTATCTTCTGTGCAATGAAAGTTGGAAACCTCAATTTCCATGTTAGGCACTTCTGAATCAACACTAAATTTGATGCTCATGTTTCCACATGTAATCATCCTCCATGCCATTTAAAGCATTGGAAATTAATATTTCTTGATAGAGTGCTGTATGATTTTTTTCTGGGAATCTCATCCAAGTACTTATGACATTATTGTGATAAACTAACAATATTAAGCTAAGTTGATCTCTTAAATATTTGCTATTATGATTATTAGTCTAATAAAATTATTAAAATGATGTAATGGAATTAGAGACAGAGAAATAAGATCCATTGCACTAGAGGAGCTAATTATGACATATTACATCAAAGATGTACCTACAGTACCTATTTTCAGAGATGCTAAAACTGAAAAAACTGTCTTACATTTGATTACTCAAACGAAGACACACTATAAATAATATAATACTAAAATTACAAAAATCTTAAAATAAATGTTTTTTACAATTTTTAGATTTTTGTAATTTTACTATTATTTAAATTATTGTCAGCTTCAATATAAGCCAACTACAGGAAGGATAAAAGCTCTAACTCTGGCAGTAGACTTCAAGTAAAGGTTTGTTGTGAAGTGTGCACTTTGGTGTTTGTGGAACTTTTTATCAATTGTGAACATTTTTATTGTTCTTTAAAATATTTGTTTTATAGTAATATAAAAAATTTGAAATATCTTTTTGTGTCATAGTCAATGAACAGTCTATTCATAAATCAAGCATCAAGAAAAGAAACATGAACAGAATAAAATAGAGTAGTTTGAATTATTGATAAAGAATAACCTGAAATAAATTCTTCAGAACTCCTCTAGATTTAGAATTAGTGAAATGGGAGGGGGATCCAGTTGTGGTGAGTGTTGGTGACTTTTTTTGTTAGAGCTGAGACTAACAATGCACAATGGATTATGCCTGGATTAAAAGCCATTATTTAGTTTTTAATAGTTGCTTAACAACCATATTAACAATTAATTTAATATTATTGCTGTTAATTATGGCTGGAATCGAAACGAATCCTGGCCTGCTTCAACGTTCTCCGCTAAAATCAAGTCAAGCAAATATGCAAAGAAGAGGTCGTGGAAGACCCGGAAAAGAATTTGTTCAGACTTCGGAGACACAAACCAGTTAGTGGATTTAATTGGTGAAGAATATACTTCAGAGGATGAGATGAGTATAAATGCCAATAGTATGAGAAATTTAAAATTAAGGACTATTTTGAAACATCGGAACAGAATGAGCAGTTAAGAGAAAATGAACCGGAATACTCACTTAAATCAATTTATGAACTAATTCAGGAGACGTTTGAGTTTTTAAACTAGGAAATGCAGATAATCAAATATGATATTAGATGACTTCAGGAAGACAACACGAAAATTAAAGAAGAAATGAAAATCATTGGTCAAAAAATTCAACAATGTGAGGAAAAAGTAAAACCTTGTGTAAATTTAAAAGCTATGTTAGAGTTTGAGCTGGATAGAATATTAAATGATAAAACTAAAAGAAATCTAATTATTCTAAATTTTCCATTTAAAACAGTTGATAACCTGCAAGAAATAAAACAATTTATAAAAGTAAATTTAGGCTTAAGAGAGATAAAAATAGAAGGTTTAATCAACTTGGGAAAAAATAATTTAGAGAATCAAATGATAAAAATAATGACAACTTCGGTTAAAGAAAGGAATCTAATCCTTAAGAAATTTTGGATAAACCGTACTAAAATGGAGAATGAGGAAGAGAATATAGTCATAAAAACAGATTTATGCCTTAGATCTAGAATTAGGAGGAAACGACTACTTAATAAAATTAAGATAGCAAATGGCAGAAAATACCAGAGTACGAATAAGAGACATTTACTATGTAAAAGATAATCACATATATACACTTGATATGGATACTAATGAATTTATACTAGTAAACCATTTTTTAGGACAAAGAACCCAAAAAACCCTGACAAAAAAATAAAAGCGATAAATATACTAAATGATAATCAGGAACATAATCATATAGAAACAGATGAAGAAAATGTGAATGGAAATAAACTGACTTTGAAAAAAAATAATATAAAAAAGATTAAATTAAGATCAAAGAAAATACATAATTATGTATTATTCAGTTTTTGGAACTGCCAAGGAATCAAAGGTAAAATTCAGACAATATCGATGAAAAAATTTATAGATTCAAATGAAATTATAGGAATAACTGAAACATGGTTAACAACTTTGAATTTGTCAGATAAAACTTATTTAGAACAAGAAAATACAGTGGTACCTCAGGATACGAAATTAATTCGTTCCGAAACTGAGATCGTATCATGAAAATATCGTAAGGTGGATCATCTTTTCCCATACGATTACATGTAAAACCAAATAATTCGTTCCAACGCGAAAAACATACTCAAATTAAAGCCAAGTAATACATTTAAAAAAATAACTGTAGTAAGAAAAACAAATGAAAAATGCGAACTAATGTAACGTCGTATGGTGAGTTTTTGTTCGTATCGTGGAGCAAAAATATGTTCAAATTTCATGTCGTATCCTGAAAATTTCGTATGCTGGGGCGTTCGTAACCTGAGGTACCACTGTAATATATTAATGAGTAATGCATATTGCACAAGTAAATTTGGCCATTCTTCGGGAGGCATGTTACTTTTAATCAAGAAAAGTCTAGGTGATATTTTATATCAAACTATAAACAAGAACTTTATACTAGCTATAATAGAATTAAAAGACAAACTAAAAAATGCTTGGAACAATCATTATTTAGGAATAATTGTAACATATCTACAGCCAACGGTGGAAAATAAACCAATATTAAATGAAATTCAATATTATCTAAATAAGTGGGATTTTCTTACTCACCTGTATATGACCGGAGAAGATTTTAACTCACATATAGGAGAGATGTCGGACATGAAGATTTTTCAAAGTTATGAAAATATGAATAATAAAAGGCAATCTAAAGATAAAATATTAAATAGTGAAAGTAAAGTTCTATTAGAGTTTATTCATGAAAATCAATTGCTAGTCCTAAATGGAAGAATAGAAGATGTTCCTGCAGAATATACTTATATATTGCATACAGGAAAATCAATTGTAGACTATGTTATATGCTCTGAGACCTTAATTGAATACTGTCAATCCTTGACAGTACTGGATGAGGACTCATCCAATCATTTTCAAGTTCAACTTAAGTTAATAATGGATGGGGAAAAGATAAGGAAGAATAATACAGATAATCAGTCAGTAATATTTAATAGTAAATTTACCTCAAACTACAACAAACAGAAATGGTTAAGGGAGGCGGAGGTTATGACAGCGAATTTGATATCGTTAGAAAATGAGAAAGAACCAATAGTTAATTATCAAAGAATGATATCAAAACTAGAAGAATGCAAATTTAAGAGATGTAACTCCGCCAATAAGCATAGATATAAAAATGAGTGGTTTGATAACTCATGTTATTAAAAATCTTCTAATCTGAATACTGGTATTCTGATAAAATCGATTTTATCATGTTATTATTATAAAATTAAAAAACAAAATAACTTAAAAGCTTTCAGAAAGAGCAATACAACAGAAGCACTGATGAACGACGTTAAAACTGAGAGAATTTATTTGAACTTAATTAAGGCCAAAAAGAAATTATATTTGCTAAATATAAATAGGAAATTAATAGTATCTAAAGATACAAGAGTATTTTGAAAAATATTAAATGGTTTTTGAATGAAAAAGTCCGAATGTTTTAATAAAAATAGAATAAACTATAATAAGTGAGTAGAATATTTTAGAGATTTTCTGATGAGTATTTATACAATCAAAGAAACATTAATATGGAGGTGATAACATCTCACCAAATTAGTCAAGAAGAAATCATAAGTATAAATGAAGTCCAGAAACAGATTATTGAGTCTAAAAATAAAATCAGCTCCTGGCTCTGATGGAATTCCATTTTCAATCATTAAACTATTGCCTTAAAAACTAATTCAATATTTGACCATATTTTTTAATAAAATATATTTCTCCAGTATAATACCTACAAATTGGAATGAGGTAATATTTACTATGATTTTTAAACATGGTAGTAGAAATGAACCAGCAAACTATAAGCCAATTGCACTACTGTCAAGTTTTAGGAAAATATTTACAGCTACACTTGTGGAGAAATTTAAAAATTGGATAGAGACAAATAAATATAACAATCCTACTCAATATGCCTTTATAGAAAATGGCGGAACACAAATGGCTCTTTTCATTTTGTTAGCAACAATTCAGTTACAATTACTAAAGAAGAGACAGAAGGTATTTGCAATGTTTTTGGACTTAAAAAAAGCTTTCGACACAATTAGCATTAAGTTGCTACAAAAGAAATTGAATAAATATAATGGAAGTAGCTACTTTATAAAAATGATTGACCAATTATATGGAAAATATGATGTAATTATTAAACAAAATAATACATACTGGAGATCTTTTCATACAAATAGAGGTTTATTACAGGGTGATCCCTTATCACCTTATTTGTTTAATTTTTACTTATTTGACTTAAATAACTGTTTTTTAAGAGAAAAGGATGGAATATATATTTATAATATGAGTATACACTCATTGTCATATGCAGACGACATAGTTATACTGGCGCCTACTGCAATAGCTTTACATAGGAAAATACAACAAATAGTGGAATATTTAGATAACTTGAAAGTTAAAATAAATCCAAGTAAATCAGAAATTATAATTTTTAGAAACAGCATGAATCCTCCAAAAAGAAATATGTCTTTTTATATCAAGAAAGAAAAAATAAGAATTGTTAACGAAAGTAAATTTCTAGGGATAACATTCACATCAAATTTATCTTTCAACAAACAGTATAAGAATACAGTAGCCAAGGCCAGAAATCTAATAAATAATTTGATGGGATTATTTTGTAAACTAAAAGTAAGAAATGTTAAAAGTCATTTTCAATTATTTAACTCAATAGTGATAAACACTCTGTCCTATGCTGCTCCAATCTGGAGTCTAAACAATTTTAATGATATGGAAAAAATTCAAAATATTTTTATTAGAAGAATATTTTAACTTTAATTTAATATTCCTGGTAGTGCGTTGCATCTAGAATTAATGAGGTATAAACTTAATACAATACTGATTAAACGTTACATAAATTTCTACAAAAAATGATTAATGCAAAAGATTTGATGACAAAACTTGTAAATTTATTATATAAAAAATCAAGAATTAAAGATATTAAGTGCAATTGGATAACGCAAATATCGAAAATCTTTAATATATATGGGTTCTCAATAGAATTAGTATTTGAATATCTCCAAAATAATGATCAATGAATCAGTCAACTAATATATAGAGTAACAGAATACTCAATAATACAAGATACAGAAGATATTCAAAAAAGGAAAAATAATTGTTATTCTGAGATCTTAAACTTCCCATCAATTAATAATTATATGAAAACTAATATTGCATTTAACGTAAAAAATTTTTTTATACAGTTTAGACTTAACCAAAAAGGATTGATGATTAACAATAAGTACGTAGAATATGAACAATTCAACTGTCCAATATGTAAGAAAAAACTATTGAAATTACATTTATTATATGTAAGCATGGAGAATAAAGAACAAGAACTAAAAACTAATAAAGAACAAAATAATTGTAAGGAAGAAAAAGAAATATATAGAAAGTTGGATAAAGCCAGTATTAGCAAAATATATAGCTACTATAATAATGTTAGAAAAAGTTTTGAAAATATGATTATTAAATAATAGAAATGAAGAGAATAGAAATTGTAAAGCTAATACCCCCTGTAACAGGCTATAGCCTTATATGCTAATAAAATTTTGATTGATTGATTGAATTAGTGAAGTGTTTCTTAAAAACTACTTCAGTATATACTGTATATAGACATATGAAATGCATTGAATGTATAGGAGTTGTGTGTCAAGATGAAAATAAATCATCATTTAATGAGAAATTCAGCTTGTGATGTTTGACACTTATTAAGACCCAACTGTATAAATTTTTAAACTTCTTAACTTTAACTTAATGAATATTAACTACACTTAAAATTATTACTATTTAAATATTGATTTATAAAGGTTGTTACTGAAAAAAATATTTGATTAAAGAATTTGTGTAGAATGTTGAAAATAATTGCAAAATTGAATAAATATCTTTTTTAATCATAATGTAAAGTGTAATTTATTTTATTTATGGTTTGAAAAATTACATAGGCTTGAATATTTTGCAACATAGAATAATTTGAGTGTCCAATTTATTGTAATAATTAAATTTGAAAGACTATTATTTCTTTTTTCTATTTCAAAATTAGTTATTTAAAATCAGTTCATTATTTCATAGAATAAAATGATTAATTGTTTTTTCAAATAATAAATATATTAGAAGAATTTCATAGATACATTAGAATACAGAATTTCTTCTTTAGCAGATTTTATTCAAAATTATTTTGATCATTTTTATAGTTAAAAAAACTTAATAAAACTAATTTGAAACTTATACATAATTAATTGATACTAATTTTAACATAAAGACAATGTTAATTTTTGTAGAGCAATATTAATAAAAGTAAGTATTGTTTTAGTTTCCAGAAATTGTATTAGAAATTAAGAACAAAATAGAGGATTTGTTGAAGTTGCAAAGAAGAACTGTCACATTTAATTCTGTTCTTCTGAACAAATATCGTGATGGAAAAGATGGAGTGGCATGGCACAGTGACAATGAACTTTCTATGGGAGTTGATCCATTAATTGCCTCTGTATCTCTTGGTGAAACAAGGAAATTTGAAATGAAAAAAAAGCAGGTAATTTTTACATTATAAATTTTTGTATGGATTGTACAGAAATTTGACATCATTGTTGTAAGAAGCCAACCCAGTGGAGATTGGGGACACAAAGTCCCAATTCATGGACACCTGGATAAGATTCTGACTTTTAGGGGCAATAAGTTAACTGTGCATCAGAGATGGTCTAGGGTCCTTTCATATGTGGGCGGTGGCTGCAGAAACAAAGATGACAAATGTCTAACAAAAACAGTTTATTTTAACATAAGAGTAACTTACACTATGAACAAAATAGTTTGCTTTAAAACAATCGGCTGTTCGGACATCCTGGGCATTGGTGTTGTTCCTTTGATCGGTCTGACACGGTCTGAGTCCGTAGTGGCACAGGTTACAGGTTAGGCACTATAGATGGAAAACTGCTCTTGGCACATTACAGAAAGTGAGTCTGTTCTTGAAAATTGGGGATTATATCAATCTCTGTTATTTCTTTCGTCCATTCTGATTGGTCATTCTCCCTCAATCACACTTCCCGAGAGGCTGGTCCCTCATTACTAAATGTAATGGGACTCCCACCTGGAGTGTGAGAAAGGTCAAAATCAAAGGTGAATTTGATCTCTTATTGATCATAGGACAACATTCTTTCTGTGATTTATGGTTTCTGCAATGCAGTTTGATATAAACAAAGGGTGTCGGGCTACAAACAATTTTTTCTCTAAATTGACTTTTTTCTTTTTTTGTGATTCTCATGATGTTCGGACTTGTCTGGGACCTCACAATGTCCATTTGTTGAGCATTAATAAAAATTGCATACTCATTTCATTATGTTATTATAAATTAATGATGTTACTTTTGCATTTATTCCTATAATTTTTTCAAGCTTTTTTCAAAATTATGATGAAATTTTGAATAAGCAGTTATTTATTGTGACATTGTCACAATACTGGGCTGAAATTTTTAATTATCTTTTAATTTAAAAAAGTCATCTGACATCCCTTATAGACTGAAGTTTGTATACAGTTAATTGGGGTCTCTGACTTCTCCATATCTATCTGTTCTGAATTCTGGTATCTTGTTCCTGTACATCATACTTCTTCTGATAACAATCAGGTCATGCTGGTCATCTATCTAACTCTGTTTTCTAGAAAATTTTGAATTGAAGTCATATGGTTTCTTGTCCAGATTAGAAGTTTGTGTATAGTTAATTGGGGCTTCCATCTCCTAAGTTTTGTATCTGATCTCAATTTTTATGTATCTAACTCTGTTCTTCAGATTAATGAAGGATGGACAGATGGACAACAGTGGGAATGTATAGGTCTGCAATTTTCAAATTGCAGCCTAATAACATAAAATAATCAGCATGAAAAGTAAATTACATAGCAGAGTACAGTTCTTTCAGCTTTCAAGTGAAACCAACATCAGTAAGAAATTATGGAGTTTTTTAGTAACTCTACAACATAAGAATATTAGAAAAAAAGTTTGAAGTATGATGAACATTTAAACATATATTGATAAGTATTTTAGATGATTTATACAAAGTTAACTGCTTTAATATATTCATTTTCATTCATAACTCCAAGGTTCGTTCATATTCACTTAAGTGAATATTATGACCATTGATTAGATCAAATTAGTATGTATTTATATACTTATGTATTAAAAAGATTAAAAGTGTTAGCAAGTACAGTTTGTTTTAGCAAAAATTTTGATTTGATTTGTTGATTTGAATTACCAGTTAATCATTCATATTATATTGCATTTGCATAAACTTTATTAGGCCTTGTGTATTATTTTAAAAAGAATATGTATAATTAATCATAATAGAGAAGTTTCATATTTTCAATAAATAAATATATTTTAATTTAAAAAATGTTTTCAGTTTTTAATGTGAAATTTTGTAAAAGTATTTTTGTTAATATACACCAACATTATGTATATTTTCAAAAAAGTATAGGTGGGAAGAAGAAGTTAAGCTAACTCATGTTCAAAATGCTAGGGATTTTGTCAATCAAAATTTTAAAATTTTCAAATGTTTATGGTACAGTACATTCAAATCTATAAATTTATCTCAAAATTCTTTAATTCAAATGAAAATAAGAATTAATATTAATATGTAAATGATATGTGTAACTATGATGAATGATATTTTTTTTACTAAATTTTTTTTAAAACCAAATGATCTACTGGATTGTTATCTAACAATTTTAAGTCTAATTAATGATCTGAAACAAAGTGATTTGACTAGAGATAGGCAGTTAAATTGCCGTCTTATAATGAATTTAATAGTTTATTATAAGACGGCAATAATATAATAAATAAATAAAATAAATAATAAAAAATTTAATTTATTTACAGTATTTATAATTGTTCTAAGAAATAAAGTTATGGATGTGTATCATATATATCTAAATCTTTTTTAATTATATACGTTAGAGTTAGTACATTATTTTTAAAATTTTTATTAATTATATGTGTTTTAATATATTTATTCAGTTAAGGTCTGAAGAATCTAACAAAGATTTTGCAGATTATGTAATATATTTAGAATCTGGAAGTTTGCTTTTAATGGATGGTGTTATGCAGCAGGATTGGCTGGTAATTTCTCAATTCAATTTTAATGTGTGTATATTATGAAATATGTAATAACTAAATCTTATTTTATTTTAGCATAGAGTACCAAAAGAATATCATGATAAAAGTACAAGAATAAACTTGACCTTTCGAACAGTATATCCTATTGATCAGAAAAAGATTTTTCAAAAGTTTTCAAGGGAGTATGAGTGATTTGTTTGTCTGACAATTATTAAAAACAGTAAATTACAACTATACATATAATGAACTTGGAATAAGCAATACATTACGTAGTTAGACTTTTTTAAATTTAAAATATGCAACAAAATATTGAATTTTATTTGTTTTATACATGCAATGTAGCGTAATAACAATCACTTGGCATGATTCATTTCTTTATTTCAATATTCATTGATACATGTTTACACACACGTTTCGGGCGACATTTGCCCATCTTCATTCAACTAAAAATATAAAACCATTTTTAAATACACAACAACCTATACATAAATTCAAAAAATACAGATTATACAAGTGCATATAACATACCTTAAAAATACAAATGCCATCCTTAGATGTATATTACTACAAGCATGAACCATACAATATACATTGGATTATCTAGTATTTTAATTAATTTAAAAAAATTTTTTACTATAAAACTACAGTTTAAAAACAAATTGACAAATTTTGCACAGGACATACCTCAAATGCTAGGCCAAAGACTTAACTTTAATTGGTACACACAAGACTTTGACTTTCACGGCCAGGTTTTTTAATTTGAAGATCCTTTAAACTTCCATAAAGTCTTGTAAAAAATGAATATAGTTAATGTACCTAGTACATAAATATTATGCTATATACTTAACTTATCTTTGCATACACATTCTCAGAAGACCCTTGGAGATGCAAAGGGAAACCTGGAATAGACGTAGCACAGTTCTATCTTTTTTAATTTCGGTACCAATTCATACATAATCCACAGGATTGAACCTCTCTTTGACTAATCATTTTAGTAACAGTTCTTATTATGCTACATTGCGCTTATAAAAGAAATAAAAAATACGACACGGTTTCAAAATATGGAAGAAAAATTGAATTTTATATTACAATTTTAAACTGTCTCTGAAATCAATAAGATAGCAATCTAGTTCACATTTGTCAAATTACTATGCAAATAAAATTATTATAATTTTACAACCCCTGGTCAAAAGTAAGGAATAATGTCATTCAATTCAGCTTAAAGTTTAAAAAACAGACTTCAGCTTAAAGTTTAGATAAATAATTCTTTTTAATAAAATTTATTTGCAGTCTTGTGCAAGTAATAACAGAAAACAGAAGTAAGCAATTATATTAAAAATTTAAGAAACAGCATGTTGAACGCTTGAGTAATGTCAGCTAAAAATATGGAATATAGTAATTGCAGAGATATACAAGGTCTGTTTCAAAACTAAGTGTACTGATTTTTATATTTAATGACTGTGCAGCTTAACACATTGTTAATTGGTATTTCATATTGCTAGATATCTTCTTAGCAGCTTATCTAGTCCTGTTTCAAGATGATCGGTTAAGTCAAACATTCATAATCTCCGTTTGTGTAAGATAGTTCACATTGTTATGTTTGAAATGGAGAAAAATCTTGAACAACATTATGCTATCAAGTTTTGTGTGAAACTGAAGAAATTGCAACCAAGACATTTGCAGATTTAACCAAAGCTTATGAAGATGCCACTTTATCCAAAAACATGGTGTCAGATGGCACAAATATCTAGAGTAAAGACAATGCTTATCTTGTTTTTGATAGCCGTGGAATTGTGCACAAAGGATTTTTACCTTCAGGACAGACAATTAATCAAGTCTTCTACAAAGATGTCTTGGAACGACTTCGAAAAAGGGTCAAGCAAGTCTACAGGGACACTGCAAAAGATTGGGTGCTGCGCCATGATAATGCGTCTGCTCACACAGTGCTATCAATTTGAGAAGAAAAAATCTCACACTCCCACAACCTCCCTACAGCCCAGACCTAGTTCTGTGTGACTTCTACCTATTCCCTAAGATAAAGTCCAAGTTCAAAGGTCATCATTTCGGGACAATGGAAAACATCAAAAAAGTTGCAACCAACGAACTAAATACCCTTATGGAAAATGACTTCAAGTACTGCTACGACCAGTGGAAAAAACTTTGGAACTACTATGTGACATCACAAAAGTCATACTTTGAAGGAGATCATTTGTAGTTTGATCTAACTCTTGTATACTTTGAGATAAAAAATCAGTACACTTACTTTTGGGACAGACGTCGTAAGTATTGAATAAACTAAATTAATATTGCATGGGACTATTGTTGTCCTTTATTATGGCTTTAATACATCTTGGTATTGAAGCAACTAATTTTTCATTTCAGTCTGTAGGTATTTTTGTCCAGTTGGTTCAGATAGCACTCTTCAGATAATGAGGCTGGTTTCTTTTTCAAACCAGTTTCTTCAAACATTCCACAAATTATCTATTTGATTTAAAACTGGGCTGTTTGGTGGCTAATCTAAATGCAAAATGTTTTTATTTAGAAACCACTAGTCTACTGTTTCAGCTCGATATATGGTCATGTTGATAAATGAGTCACCAAAGTGTTCCTCTGCTGTTTTAGCACAGAATTCTCTAAAATTTTGAACTAAACCTGTGCATTCACTATAATCTTGATAAATTTCAAATGTCCAAGTCCTTCTGCTATTGTGGCACCCCAAACTAATTTTGTTTCAAAATTTCGGTTTTGAAACAAGGCATTCTGACAAACTTTTCATTGGGTTTTTTTTCTTCAAACTTTGCTGCTATTGTTATATCTGTATCCTGTGCAAATACAGTAGTACCTCAGGATACGAAATTAAATCATTCTGAAACTGAGATCATATCATGAAAATGTCGTAAGGTGAATCATTTTTTCCCCATACGATTACATGCAAAACTAAATAATTCGTTCCAACACGAAAAAAACACTCAAATTAAAGCTAAGTAGTACAGTAAAAAAATAAATAACTATAGTAAGGAAAACACTGAAAAATGCATTTTGTAGTTGTAAATGTATAAATAACCATAATAGAATAATAATTGATTTATTTGCACTTTACCTTTGAGGATAGATGACAGTGGAAGTGTAAACTGGTGGCGGAGGAGAGGGAGAAGGGAAATGATACTAAAACTCAACTTACATAACATAATGTAACAATAACTTAAGATAAAAATAATTTAACACTAATTTTTTTTTCTGTTTTATATATTTTTTAAAAATTTTTTATTCACTGTTTTTTGCTTTCTTTCCTTCTGTGACCGTAGGGTCGGTGTCTGTTCGACACCACATCAGGAGACCTGAATCTGACACCACCGAGTCTTGCGGGACTCGGAAATTACGACATTACGTCATGCGAGCAGTAGCGGGTGAGCAATTGGATTTGGAGTAGAGGTGAAGAGAGAGACGAGGAAGTAAATTAATCGGATTCCATGGTTGCTAACAATTAACAATTTTAATGAAACTAAAGGAAATACAGAGAGAGTCAATTTCGGTCATAGTTCCCCTATTTAAGAGAGGCCCGTCGAGAGAGAGAGTTTACAAACGAATCGCAGGTTGATAAATACCTTGTCGATGGACTGTTCTTTCCACTAGTTCTGAATCTTGTCCGTTCACTGGTGTGGAGGCACGGAGGAGTGTACAGGCTTAACCAGTCACGATTTTTTTTCACGATTTTAATCCTGGGGCATGGTATTAATCCTGAGTCACGATTTGAATTCTGGAGGACGACTTTGTTGAGCGGACTGTTGAAGACGACTCCCCCTTGAGGGTTTTTGGTTTTTTCTTTTTAATTCCTCTTGGGTTTTTCCATTAGGTCAGGTGGTTGTCGTTAAGGGTCTGGCGTCCAATATGGGCTCTCCATTGAAAGTTCCTGGTGACACATCCCTGACTAACTGGATCCGACTCAACAAGGAACAAACTCCGTGGGAAATAATTTTTATGGCTTTTAGCCTAACTCGATAAAACGCTCAAATTTAACCGATTAAAGTTTCCAATAATTAAAATTTAAAATAACACTTTATTGTGGGTTGTTCAGCCTTCACATCACTTCCACCAGCACTTTCACTGGATAGAGGTCGCTTGGTAAAATATCTATCTAAAGAGGTTTGGCTTTGCCTACTTTTTAAAATGTTTCTAAAATGACTTAGGTAAATGTCATTACTCCGAGCAGCAATAAGGCCAGTGTAAACCTTTTTGGGATGTTCGCTTTCAATAAAATCAGTCACTTTCTGATAATACCTCAAGATTTCCTTTATCAAGCGAGATCCTTCCATGATGAAGCAAACATGTGGACTGAGACCAATGAACAGAAGTGAATAAAAAATGGCGCAAACTAATGTAATGTCTTATGGTGAGTTTTTGTTCGTATTGTGGAGCAAAAATATGTTCAAATTTCATGTTGTATTCTGAAAGTTTCGTATGCTGGAGCATTCGTATCCTGAGGTACTACTGTATATGATTTGTTGGAGAACAACTTGTTTCTAATGCATCATATCCCAACTCTGGTAGGCTTTTGCCCAGTGTAGACATAGTTTTTGTTATTCAGTCAGATAAGGTTTCTGCTTTGCTTTTCTTTATATTTAATCATGTTCATTTAACTTTCTGTGATTTGTTTTTTTCAGATACATCCATATCAACTGCTTTTACATTCAGCACTTACCTCTCTGGATGATTTAAATTGTTCTCCTTTAATGATTTTGATCAGATTCATCTTGTGCAATAGTTATGCAGGGACTAGGGATTGTATACTGGTTTACCGATAAATTGACAAAAAACATTCGGTAAACATTCAGTAAATGAAAAATTCATACTAGAAATTTTTATGTAGAAAATATTGTGTTTATAGATATTTAAAAGGGCTAAAGGGATATTGAAAATAAAAAAAACAAATAAGTGTAAGCAACAATATACCTAATTATTAATTTTATGTGAGATATTTTTTGTTTAATTTTAATTTAAACTTTCTTGGGTTTGAGAGGCACTGTAAATTCTAGTTAGCATATGTGATTTGTGCTTTGCCGTTTTTTGAGATTTTTAAAGGTTTAAAATCTTTACAATCAACGTTTTTCTTAAAGAGTAAGTAAATATCTCTTTTTTTAATATTTAAAAATAATAATACGTAAATATTTCAC